TGCCGAAGACAACTGCGCGCCGGACTCATCGTCATTGAAGCCTGGTTCAGGGGCTACTGTGGGAGTCCTGGATTAGGGGGTCTCCGGATAGCCAGACTATCTCCCTTGGCCGGACTATTAGACTATGAAGATACAAAATTGAAGACTTCGTCTCGTGTCCGGATGGGACCCTACTTGGCATGGAAGGCAAGCTAGGCAATACGTATATGGATATCTCCTCCTTTGTAACCGACCTTGTGTAACCCTAACCCTCTCCGGTGTCTATATAAACCGAAGGGTTTTAGTCCATAGGACAGCAATCACAACATACAATCATACCGTAGGCTAGCTTCTAGGGTTTAGCCTCTCTGATCTCGTGGTAGATCTACTCTTGTAACACCCATATCATCAATATTAATCAAGCAGGATGTAGGGTTTTACCTCCATCAAGAGGGCCCTAACCTGGGTAAAACTTCATGTCCCTTGCCTCCTGTTACCATCCGGCCTAGACGCACAGTTCGGGCCCCCCTACCCGAGATCTGCCGGTTTTGACACCGACACCCTCCAAGTTGCAGAAGCAGACTTAGGAATTGTTGCATGCATAAAATCCATGTCAGGAAAGTAGCGGCCCTTTAACACCCTTGCACAGAGTGAGTACGGATTGGTTAAAAACCTCCGTCCGTGTTTGCCAAGTAGCGCAAGGTTAAACTGGTGAGGTTCTCCAAAACCCATGCCTCCCTTGCATTTCGTTGTCGCTAGATTCTTCCATGACACCCAATGCATTCCATTCTTGTCAAGAGAGCTACTCCAGAAATATTTAGCCATTGGAGAAGTAAGATTCTTACCAAGTTTTTTAGTGAGCAAAAAGGTACTCATCGAGTATGTGGGAATAGCTTGAACCACTGACTTTAATAAAGTTTCCCGTCCGGCACAAGCCAATAGGTTCTCAGACCATCCTTGCATCTTGCTCCGTGCCCTATACCCGATGTGATCAAAAGTGCCACTGTTAATACGACCAACAACTGTTGGCAGCCCCAAGTTCCGTGCCCTATACCCGATCGTAGGCCTTCACCATATCTAACTTGACAGCAGAAGCGAAATTATTCCCTTTCTTCCTCCTCTTCATAGTATGCACACTTTCGTATGCCACTAGGACATTATCAGTTATCAGCTGTCCGGGGACGAAAGCACTTTGCTCTTCACTAATAATCATATCCATAAATGGTCTCAACCGATTAGTAATACATTTAGCTACAACTTTATATAAAATCGGACTGAGAGCTATGGACCAATATTGTGCAATTGACTAGGGGTGTCGTACCTTGGGGATTAATGTAATAGAAGTGTCATTCACGTTTGTTGGTAGTTCACCTCCATTCAAAAAATCTAGCATTGCTCGGGTGACATCCTCACCAATTAAACTCCAATGTCATTCGCAGAATCCCGCAGCGAAACCATCTACACCTGGTGCTTTAGAGGGGGCCATTTGAAATAAAGTTGCACGAACCTCTACCGCAGTGTATGGTTCGGTAAGTTCCACACTCATATCCAAAGGTACCTTAACTGGAACGTGATTCAGCAGTTCGGTCGCATTCGAGGAACCTTGAGAATCATAAAGGTTCTCATAGAATGCTTGCACCTCACTCTTGTCCTTGACTTCATTAGCACAAACTGAACCATCCTGTCTACGCAATCCTTGGATTCTGTTCAGTCTCTGTCTTTGCGCTGCCTGTGCTTGGAAGTAAGAAGTACTGCGGTCCCCCTCACGTAACCACACACCCGAGAGAGTTATCGCAGCCACGTTTCTTTCTGCTAGAGCGCCTCCCGCAACTTACATACAGTAGCTCGTTCCTCCTCAGTCAGTCCACGACAAACTGAACGACATCTAAGTTTATCAAGTCTTCTCTGAAGCTGCCTAACCTTACAGGTGAGGCATCCAAATTCCCGCGACCCCCATGGCTCTAGTGTTCCCCTTAAGAGATCAAGAGAACCAACTATGCCTTGGAGCCCCGGGCCATGGGGAGCTTGCTGCCACGTTCTTGTGACAAGCTAATCATAGTCCACATGTGAAGCCCATACATTTTCATATCTGAATTGTTTCTTTGCTCTCAACATGTTTGGAAAATTCTCTTTTATTTCCGCTACAACAAAATAGTGATATGACTCTATGGAGGGTAGATGTCTGATCCTAATATGCTGAAAGTGCCGGAACTCCTCATTTGCAAAGGCTCTATCAAGCCTTGCCTTAACATTTACTACACCTGCCTGACGGATGTCCCAGTATAAGCCGTGCCTGACCATCGCAAACCTTCGAAGGCCACCTCATCTGTTACTTCATGAAAAGCCCGCATCTGACTCTCCGGCCTTGTTGCTCTACTAAAATGCTCACACGCATAGAGAGTCTCGTTAAAATCACCCACACACATCCAAGCCGAATGCGGCAAGGCATGCAGTGTACGCAAAAACCTCCAGCTATGATGACGATCCTCAGCTCAAAGCGCTCCATAAAATCCCGTGAACCTCCACTCGAAAGAGTTTTGGTCCTTGTATTTCACCATCACATCTATGTGTCCAGAACTGAAATTCTTCAGATCGACAATTACATCTCTGGTCCAAAAAAGGCCTATGCTCCCACTTAGACTAATACCATCAACAACAAATCATCCACCAAATCCAAGATGATTATGTAACTCTTGCACTCTCTTCCCTTTGCTTTTTTTTCCAAGACAAAGAGAAGAGTGGTTCCTTCCAGCTTCACTATGCTGCGAAGCTCACAAACTGCCTCGGGGTTCCCAAGCCCCCGACAGTTCCAACTAAGGCAACTCATTTGGCCGGGCAGGACCGATCAACGGTCTCTGTCGAATTTTATGGTGTAGGCTTCTTTTTCTTGGGATCTTTTACAAACCTGCCATCCTCGTCCTGTGCAGCTGCATTTGAAAGTGGGTCCTCATGAGCAGTAATGCTCGTACCGCCCGTAAGTAGGAGCTGCTTCGGCTTATACACAGCTGTTGGGGCGTCCTTCCTATTGTTACATGGCTTGTCTTTGTTCTTCACTGGCAAGGTCACCTCCGTCTCATCATCAGGTCTGGCTTTGGTGCTCGAATTCCTAGTTTCTTGCTTGTTGCTTGGGTCCGAGCTCTGGCCCCTAGATGAATTGTCACTAGATGCTGGTTTCTTATACTCCTCAGGAGCTCGCAGAATCGGGCCAAAGGGTAGTTCACCCTTCTCATCTCTGGTGCCCGGGGTCTGACTATAAAGTCCAGGGTGCCCGACTCGCCCACATGAGAAACAAAAGTAGGGTATCTGCTCATATTGGATGTCATATGAATCTACCCTCTTCCTCCTTGCTGAATCAATGAGTATCTATCTTCAGAGCGGTTTGTTAACTTCAACTGAGACCCTAGCTCGAAGATAACCACCATTGTGATCAAACTTTGCACTTTTGGCTCCCTTGTCAATCATCCATGCGATGGGTAGGGACCATGCATCATCCCTTAAATTGTAAGGCAGATTAAGAACCCTAGCCCACACCTGGAGCCGATCAAAACTGACTTCGTCTGGGTGCATGTGTTCATCGAACTCGGCCAGAATTACCGTGTTCTTACTGATATGCCACGGTGATCCAATCCAAACTCTGTCTCGATCTCTCTGAGTCTCAAATTCTGCGACGAACATGTTCGTCCCTACCAAGCGGAACTGCAAACCCCTCGGATTCCTCCAAGCCGGTCGAAGCGTGTTGCCAATGGCATGGATGTGATATTGATTGCGGTGGAGAACCTTGCCAGCCAGTAGCCACTTCACCTGGCCGCCCTCAGCACAATCTCGATCACGAGTGGGGTAGCCTCTTCCTCGGAGATATCCAGCTTCCCCAACGCTTCCTCTAGCAGTGACTTTGCTGATCTAGAGTTACTGGAGCCCCCCGTGCGTACCGTTCGGCGGAGAGGATGTAGCCATCGTTTACGCTGACTTGCTCGAGGCAGCCCACCGATCTGAATCCGCGGCCGCCGATTTGTTCCACGTCAAACCCTAGAGTCGCCGCCAGAAGCGCCTTAGGGTTTCGACGAAAAAGTCGGTCGAGCGAGCGAACATAAAAAAGCCTTTTTCTTAACAGGTGCCCATATGAATAAAGTATATGTACATGCGTTTGTAGAGGCGATCGTCAGTGTGTACGCATGAACGTTTGATTTGTATCATGCTTCTTTTTATAGTTTATAAACAAAAAACTTTTTTCTTTCGTGTGTAAAGATAAGAAAGGCAGCCAGAGAAAACAGGGGAGAGATTAATGGAAGCATTCCACGAAATAGTCACCACCCCGGAATGAAATTAGGTCCTATCGCCTTTGCCATTGCCTTGCTGGCCCCGACCCCCCTCGCTCTCTCCTTGGGTTGCCTTGTTCGTCTTCTCTCTTGCTTGCTAGTCCTCTCTCCCTCTCTCTTTGCTGTGGAGCGGAGAAGATAGAGAGATTCCCTGATCTGCTCGTCGATCGAGCCTGCCCTGCCTGCCTGCAAAATTTGGCAGCGCGAGAAGGGAGACCGAAAAGGAGAGCGGAAAAGCGCATCTTATTTTAGTCTCCCCGCCTCAGCTTCGCGGTTGCTTCGTCTGGATCCCGGAGAGGAGCCCACCTTGTTCCATCAAAACCCAATCTTCCGCTTGCTCGAGATCGATTGGTTTCCAGATCCAAGCCCGCCCCTCCCTCGTTGCGAGATCGCAGGAAATCTGGGCGCGCGGCTCGGCAGGAAGCTAGCCATCCAAGAAAAAGGTGAGTTGTTCTTTTCTTGTTTGGTCCCTCGTCTTGCAATGCGTTTAGGGTGTGGTCGTTCTTGGCGATCTCTCCCCCTTCGATCGCGCAGCGTCTGCCGTGGATTGATCGGGCTCTTGATCTTGGTGTTTGTGCTTGTGTTGGTTGGCTTCGATGGCAGATTTGGCGAGGCGAAGGAAAGGGGAGAGGATATCGGGAGAGGAGGCGAATAGACATGGCTTTTGTGAGGCAGCGGGCGATGGGGAGGTGGCGGAGATGAGGGATGCTAGCTTCTGCGATGGATTACCTGAGATCTTGCTGGGGTCCGACGTCGTCGCCGGACGGGCGCCCTCGCAAGGGGGTGGATGCGGCCGGCCGGCAGGACGGGCTCCTGTGGTACAAGGACGCAGGGCAGCTCGTCGCCGGCGAGTTCTCGATGGCCGTGGTCCAGGCCAATAACCTGCTGGAGGACCACAGTCAGGTAGAATCTGGGTCGCTGAGCACCACGGATCCCGACCTGCAGGGCACCTTCGTCGGCGTCTATGATGGCCATGGTGGACCGGAGACGGCACGCTACATCAATGACCACATGTTCAACCATCTGAAGGGTAATACCTCAACCGTTGCTAGACCTGCAAGTGTCTGTGATTGATGCTGATTGTTCTCAGCCATTTTTCTTCCCATGGAAGTAGATATTTATTGGATGCCTGCATTGCATAGGATATAGTTCTGCTTGTAGTAAAACAGAGAACAAACAAGCGCAATTTAAATGATGTTTTGTTCAGAGCAGTTGCCTACTTTGTACTATATTCGATCCTTGGTTGATTTATTTTACTTCCAAGTATAATGGAAGCACATTTATTGTTGACTGTAGAGTGAATAAATGATAGTGTCGTTTACTCACCTTCACGTCATACTATGACATGTTTGAACCACATGTCAATCTCCATTAGTTCCCTCACATGATGAACTTCCTTTTTCAGTATATGCATCTGAGCAGAAGTGCATGTCAGTGGAAGTAATTCGGAAGGCTTTCCGAGCGACCGAGGAGGGATTTCTCTCTCTGGTCAGTAATCAATGGTCGGTGAGGCCGCAATTAGCGGCGGTAGGCTCTTGCTGTCTAGTTGGTGTGATTTGTGCTGGAACTCTCTATGTTGCAAATGTTGGGGACTCCCGTGCTATTCTGGGGAGACTTGTCAAGGGAACTGGAGAGGTTGTGGCTATGCAGCTCTCAGCAGAACATAATGCATCCTTTGAGGAGGTTAGGCGAGAGATGCAGGCAATGCATCCTGATGATCCCCACATTGTGATCCTGAAGCACAATGTTTGGCGTGTGAAGGGTATTATTCAGGTAAATGTCCGGAGTTCAAAAATTGCAACTGGCATGTGATCCATAGCTTGCTTTATACAGTCTTCAGACATTAGGCTTAACTTTTCATTATAGCCATAACTGCATTTAAATGCTGTGTCCCTATGCTTCTGTTAGAATTGTTGCTGCATGTTTTTACATTAGGCAAATTCTCAGTTATCAACTATACTTAGGTGTTCTTGTTGGATATTTTTTACCAGTGTATACAATCTGCAATAATGCAAGAGTCCGAGTCTTATAATTAGGTACTCCCTCCGTTCCAAAATAGATGACTCAACTTTGTACTAACTTTATACTACAGTTAGTACAAAGTTGAGTCATCTATTTTGGAACGGAGGGAGTATTAGCCAAGGCAAATACCATATTCAGCTGTTGAATGCATTTCCCTTGATGTTGATCCCGCAAATAAATTATTATGTATGCCTGTGTTTCTTAAAACAGATATGAGGTGTGCTAACCATGTGCAATATGGTCACGTGCATTTCCTAGACGAATCACTTAATCTGCTGTTGTCTCTTGCATAGCGTTACTGCTTAGTCCCTTCCCAAATGCCATGCAATTGCTTCTGCTGTGTATCTCACATGGTAGGATAATGTGTTGCAGATAACAAGGTCCATTGGAGATGTGTATCTGAAGAGACCAGAATTCAACAGAGAACCTTTGCATAGCAAGTTTCGGCTTCCAGAAACTTTCCGGAGACCGCTTCTTAGTTCTGAGCCAGCAATTACTGTACACCAAATACAGTTAACTGATCAGTTCATCATTTTTGCATCTGATGGACTCTGGGAGCATCTTAGTAACCAAAAAGCTGTTGAGCTAGTCCACAGTAGTCCTCGTAATGTATGTGCTCTTATCTTATGTTTAGTTTGTGTTACTGGGTTCTTTGAAAGCTAAGTGCTAGTTCATGCATTCTTTTTCCAAACAACAAAGTACGCATTTCTGCTTTTGTAGTAATTTCATCGTTCTTTGGATGATGTTTCTGTTGAGGTAAGTGGACATATTTTCTTTCTTATAAGGAATTAAGGGAACACTAGATATGAACATCTTTAGAACTCATTCTAAGTTTTGATAACATGTAACAGTTCTGTAAGTACATAGTATAGACATATTATCATGCTAGGGTATATTAGATTTTGTTCGCCTGCCATGATGGTTGCAACCGACTTAAATGGCACCAAGTTATCGATTTTGTAGCACTTCCGCAGTTGTTGGTGTTTTAGGTACTTAAATTTGTCTGTAGCAAAATGTTGTTTGAGATAACAACAGTGGTTTAGTCCCTAGAAGTTTGTGTTTCTCTGCCGGTCCTGGATTAGGTCATGTCTGCCTAATGTGGTATAGGTTATATTGTTGATTATGTATGTCCCCCTTTTCATGTCACTTCGCTGATTGAAGGTTACATGCTTAAACTTCAGTCTGCAAATGCCTGGTTGTTCGCTTATTGAGGAGATATTTTGTAGCAGTTATCATCTTCAGAGCTCCTTGTTTTTTTTCCGAGGGAACCATTTTTAGATCTCTTAAACATCTGCATTCTTCATTGAAGCATTGTGAATGAGCTACTTTACAACTGATTCATTTATATTAATCACACCTTTCCTGAACTATGGCGATTGTCACCTCACCAACTAACCAATGTAGACATGTTACTGAATCTCACTTCACATTTCAGTTTGCAAACAGACCATGTAGTAGGACCCAGCTTCATTATGTCTAAACAATCTTGTTCTCATATTCTACTAGTCTTGTGTTCCTTCATTCATTTCGTAGAACAGCATTGCTTTCTTATTTTGTTAATGTTATCGTAACTTGTATGTTTCAGGGGATTGCTCGAAAGCTAGTGAAGGCTGCAATGCAGGAAGCAGCAAAGAAGAGGGAGATGCGGTATTCAGATCTCAAGAAAATTGACCGTGGAGTGAGGCGCCACTTTCATGATGATATAACGGTCGTTGTGGTATTTTTCGATTCGAATGCCATAGCCATGGATGCCTGGAGCCGTCCCACAGTTTCTCTGCGAGGTGGCGGCGTTGCCCTCCCAGCAAATTCCCTTGCTCCATTCTCAGGTTCCTAGCCTTTCACTGGAGTCAAGAAGACACGAAGGCCAGAAAAGAAATGGTGAAGAAGACAAGAAGAGCAGCAGCCACGGTCAAGTGTAGTGCGTTTCCTGTGCGTTCTCGCAACAAAAAAAAAAGACCTTTTAGATTCAACCTGGTTACTAGTGTACTGATAGCGGCAAGGTATAAGATTAGATTATTCTTAGTGTACATTCTCCGGATCGTCTTGTGATAATAGTTCATCTCATCACCATTTCATTTTGTTTAGCCCCTCACAAAGTGCTGCATCTCAAGGCTGGCTAATCTTGGACATGTAGCAGGTTGCTTTCTTGATGCCTTAATCTGCTGAGCTCTGATCAACACGATCTACAACGTTATTCTGTTGACAAGTCACATGTGAACTTGCACATATTGAACGGTTCTTGTCACATCGTTCGGAAAGCAAGCATGATAAACCTAAGATCTTGCAGCATCGGTTTTCTGTTGCCAAGAATAGCCAAATCTGGTGCCAATCTATTAAAAAGCAGATGAACTGACGTACTCGTATAATATAGGGCAATGAAACATCACAGCATATTACTCACTCTGTTATCTACTACTACAAAACATGAACACACAGAGTTTCTCCCTAACCCAACAGGCACACCTCTGCCCTTCGAGGGCTTGCTCCTTACCGGAGGCCAGAGAAGCAAAAGTGTTTGCCACCTTCAGAATGATGAGCTCTCTCACCATCTTATGACTCGCCTTCACTGTGAGTTCAGGGACCGAGCAACTTCTTCCACCAGGCGTACCCTAACAAAACAACGGAGATCACAAAGCAGCCTGACGATGTACCTCCGACAAATGGCCAAAAGAAGCTGCCATCTGTGTCATAAAAATGGCATGGAATGTTCATCGCAAATGCCCCAGCTATGAAGGTATTGACGGCTATGCCAAAAGACGCGATGGTCAGCGTAAGCTGAAGTTGGATCAGTTCATTTCGCTGGTTGTCGAGTTGAATGTTGACGTAGTCTTCTGTGTCATCAATATACTCTCGGACCTGTTAAATTTCCAAAGGAGAAATCAATGTACACATCAAGATGAGTAAGAAATAAGAACCCAAATAACTCGACCAAAATATGCTCCTAATAATGAAATAATTCAGCATATGATATCTTGCTGCCTCGAGTATCAACTGAGCCCTGTGTTTTGCAGAACAAAAGACAATTTATCTGTGCAATTACACTCTCGGAAATGGAACAACAACTAAATTCCACATGATTACTCAGCACCAAATACGTACAATATCAAGAATTAAGATAAGCCAGTGTTAAATAGCTCAAGAAAACAGTAACAAGGCTTATGTCGGAAGGACTAACCGATAAAATTCTGTTGCGAATTCCATCCAGTTGCATGAAGTAGGCCTCAAGCAACATCTCTAGGTCTTCCACATCGTTATCCAAATATATACTGGTAGCAATGCTCACACTGCGCCGAAAACTGGAGTTCAGCCTCGGCAGACTTGCTCCTGCGGGAACAATGCTATTGGAAGCAGCAGACGTCATTATAGCCTCAACCTGCTGATTCTGTGCTTGCTTCCTTGTAAGATAAAGATGTGCCATGTCTTCATTATCATCTAGAAGATGTTCTATCTCATCCCTGACCTAAGAAGAGCAGCATGTGGGTTATCATCAAGGTTCTCAAAACTACAGTAGAAATTCCCAGTAGCAATACACTGTAAGCAATAAGATTGAGAAGCTTAATGGCGAATAGAAGAAAACCAAAAATGGTCAACTGCCTATGCCCCCCCCCCCCCTGTTCAATTTTTTTCTAATGTAACAATTCAATCAGAATTAGAATTTAAAATTATCATCTTTTATAGTAATCTAAAGCAGATAAATTGTAGCAATTGGTTCTTTGAAAACTTGCACCAAGATAGTTTTATAATAGTTATTCATCCACGTGAAGAGGGCTATGTAAGAACTACTCTTGATGCTCCATTATGAGCGAATAAAATCCACTCTTTGTCGAAAAATGTAAGACCGTACATCAATTGGTGACTCGACTAAATGATAAAGGTGGAAGGCAGCAGAGTTTCTCTAATGATACCTTCTGAACGCGGGCAAGCAAACGGGTAAGGTCACTCTTGAGGCTCCGCACACGCTCCAAGTTCTTAGTGCTGACATTCTTGGTGAGCTCATCAAGCACGGGAATAGCACGCCTCTCAAGATCAGCCACGCTGGAGTCCAACGTGGAGCACACGGCCTCAAGCCCAACCTCCAGCACCTGGAACTCGAATGGCAACTCATGCTCTGCCCCGGTGGCCTCATTAAGACAGGGCACCTGATCCCCGGGCGAACCATCCTGCTTGACCCCATTGCCATCACCGCCGTGTTCACCATTCCCACCCACCAGGCTCCTCAGAGGGAGATGCTGCCTCAATTGGTCGACGAAAGGGAGCACCTCCTGCATCAGAGGGTCCAATAGGAGGACCTCCTCCGCAGTAACAATCGCCCTGATGAATTCTAGGTTGATGACCATCGCCTTCTCTCTAGCTGCACAATCAAACATCGTATATGAGTATGTAACGCTAGGGTCTGCTTGGTTTTTGCAAGAGCAAAATCCGCGTCCCTGATGGCGGTCGGTATCGATTTGGCGAGCGCTCACCGAGGATGCTTGAGGAGTGGGAGAAGACGGGGCCGAGGATGCGGAGGTCGCGCGGGGGCACGCCCGCGCGGCGGATGATGGAGGCCTTGTCGAGCTCCAGGATCTCAGAGGAGCCCCACCGGTCCAGCCGCATCCACAAGCGGGAGCCGGCCTTCTTCTTGCCGACCTTGGCGGCCAGGGCGGCACCACCCCCGGGAGAGGGGGCAGGCGGAGACGTGGTGGTCTGCGGCGCGGGGGGCGGAGTGGTCGGGGAGGGGGGAGGCGGCGAGCTGGGCTTGGGCAGGGAAGGGAGGCGGCGCGCGGAGCGGGTGCGCTTGGTGGAGGGCGAGGTGGAGGCGGCGGAGAAGAAGGGCAGCTTCCTGCCTCCGGATCGCCTCCCCATGGTGGCGGCGGCGGTGGGGGGCGGCGGCTTTGATCGAGGTCGTTGGGGGGCGTGGTGCGGCACGGGAAGGAGAGGGGCTGGCAGTTTGGGACGCGTGGTTCGCGTCCAATCAATCTCTGCTGCAGCTCCGGAGTGGGCTGGGCTGGAACCAGGAAGTGTGCGTGGGGAGTCGCGTCCGGCGCCAACCGTTAGTTTACCCGCCACGGAGCTGAGACGGGAGGCTCCCTGGTTCAGCCATTGATTGTTGCGTCGTGATTCGTGCCTGATATAATCTTAAAATTATTGTGTCATTCTTTTTTTTCCGGGTTTAATAGGAGTTTTATTCCATAGTAAGAGCATCTCCAATAGGAAAATTATCACTCCTAAAAGGGGGCATCTTTTGTCAAAGGTTTGTGATCTTATTGACATAATCATAAATCATGGAATGAAGATTTGGTGAGACACCTTGTGACCAATTGATGCTCAAAGGGTGCTCGCAATTCCACTTCCCATGCATGATATGCCGGATTTCATTGCTTGAGCTATACAAAAAATGGCATGCTCATTGTTCGTTCGGCTTGTTTAGAAGAATGGAATCAACAACATGAGAAAAAATTGCAACATGCAAATGGGATGGATGGAACCAATCTCAATCCTATTTAATGGAAGATTTGGAAGTTATTTTGTTCGGAGGTAAGAAAAATCATTTTGCATACACTACGTGGAACACTCCAATGCTGAGTTACATTTGCTAATAGACAAATGAACATTTCAGCCATCTACCTATAATGCTCGAATGGGCTAGAAGATACAAAACACGCATTGTTTCTGGTATGAGAAGGCGAAAAAAGTTTGGGGCAAGTTAGGTTTGTACGAAGTGATCAATAAAGCCTATGTGGCTGACCGTGCGGGAGAGGCGGTACTAAAATTCTTACTCTTTAAAGCACCTCCAACAGGCACGCGACACGCTAAAATAATTTTTACAACGTCGAAATAGCAAATTTTTTGCGCGCAGAAGAGCGCTCACTTCAGCGGTCGCTGCAAAATATTACGCGTGCAAGCAGCTCCAGCAGACGCGGTAAATATACGTCGCTCGCACCCAGCACAAACAACATTTGACACTCAAAATAGAACCAAGAAGATGAAACACATAAAAAATAAATCAACAATAAATAGTTTAATTTATTACAACTCAAACAAATCTTCCAATACAACAAATAATTCAACAATACCACGTCAAACATACAACATCACTAGTTTTGTCGGCCATTCCATGCCCGCCACTCCTCGATTAGATCCTTTTGAAGATCATCATGCGTTTCGGCACGTCGAATGGCATGATAGGAGACAACAAATCGGGCCACCCTCGCAGCCCTCCGCCTCACTCTCACGGGACGTCCCAAGAGCTCATACTGAGAATAGTCTAAATCTTGCCCACGCTCATTCTGGATGCTCATCCTAAAACGACGCCGAAAGTATGGCTCGGAGTATGTGGGATTCTCCACAAAATAGTGCCTCATCAATCTGTTGTCAGCATCGATCTTATCCCTCCAAATTTTCTGACGACCCATAACCGAACCACCGTGCTTCGGCTTTTTATTGACGTGCATAGCTAGGATCATTTCAAGGTCCTCCTCCTCTCGAATATCAAATTCTTCGTCGGAAGAATCATATGACGAACTCATCTACAATACTAAATTTAAACTAGTCTATATAAAACTACAAAAAACATGCACCAAATTCATCTACAAAATATGAAGTTGAAGTAATACATACCTTGCAAGCGTTTTGTCAAACACCTTGCGGGAGCCGAGCAGCAGTGGGGGGCCGGGTGCTATTCGTTAGAGGAATGGCGCGCTCGAGGGGCGGCGACGATGAGAGAAGGTGGAGGAAGCGGCGGCGGCACACGAGGATAGGCCTGGGAAGCGCCATTGGGTCGCCGGAACAAATGGGGAGGTGTGGGCGGCAGCGCTAGCGCCTGGATCTGGCGGTTGGTGGAAGTCGCACGCA